CCTTGTTCCATTGGTACCCAATAATCAGCCATTCTTTGTCAAGCAACTATAGTTGAAAAGCTTTATGTGGTCCAAAGAAGGATAAGAACATTCCCAGCCTTACAAAGCTTTCTAATTGGTTGCTACAAATTTGACCAAAAATATAAGAAAATTAAATTCTGGATAAGTGGTCTAGAGCAGTGTTTCTTAACAGGTGGTCCTGGAGCCAACAACATCAACATCACCTGGGGAGTTATTAGATATGCAATGATCAGGCACCCAACACTACTAATTAGAAGGCCTGGGTGTGGGACAATCTATATTTAACAAGCTCTCTAGTTGATTCTGATGCAGACAGTGGAGATCCTCTAGTCTAGAGATAACGGGACCATTTGAGTTTCTGAGGAACGAGAGCTCAGTATTATTGGAACAGTCACAGAAGACTTTCTAAAAGAAGTAGTACCTGTTTGGGGAATTACATTATCCTTTTGGAGATGTTCCACATCTTTGGTTCCTCCACCCTAGCCATCTCTTGAGTTTTTGTATTCAATTCGTTTATGAATCACTTTGTTTCCCAAAAAGTTACCACAAGTGGGACGAATATGCTGCCCCTGCTTTACTGGTGATAAGCTTAGAGGAACATTTCCAGGAGATGAGAGGCTTGTATCTGGGAAGTTGATTTCTTGTATTATTATTTAGAAACAGTCTAGGTTTTCTCTTGCTGCAATCCGGGACCAGGTGGATCTAGTCAGTGTTTATCACCTCAAAGTGACGGATGTGGTTTCTAATCCCTCTGACTTCCTCTGCAGGGTTCTCACTTCTACAGATCCTGTTGTGAATTTTAACATCTGTTCTAAGGGTAGTTATGAAAAGGGATGAGAAATGCTTGAAATTAAGTTAGTCCTTATTGTATCTCCGACTTAGTTTGCTGTGTTTCTGTCATTTCTTCTTCTTCCATGAGCTCCAATCAGAAGAGCAGTGAATGAATCCAGTACTGAACAGAATTAGGGAAGCCAGATCTTTGCAAAAGAGAGACCCTGCATCAGAGTCACTTATGCCCTATAGGAGGGGGCCCACCACGAACTGAGAGTGGATGGAGAGACGGGAGCACATCAATGTCTGAAAGTTACTAAGGGGTTTTACCCTACTAATTTTAGTTGGGATCCAGTGAGAAAATGAACAGAGCTCATAATCCTAACATTAAATGTTTAAAAATTTCATCTGGCCCAGGAAAATGACCCCGTGGGAGAGCATACTAGCCAACCCCTGAGTGGAAATATCAGTGTATCAATTTACAGTTTGGGGAAGGACCTGGAAAACATGGTGTAAGGAAATTTGGGTTAGAAGCCAAAGAAATACTGGTGAAAGGAATGCACCTGCAGAAACTGTAGAAGAGAAGAATCTAAGTTAGTCCACAAGTTCTGAATGAGCCTCTATTTTATGTTCAGTTCTGAAATGAGCCCTTAGATCAGAAGCAGATATCCCTAAAAGCCGGGAAGGCCAATGACATGGACATCCTTAGAGGCTCGGGGTCAGTTAGGCCACACATACTTGGGTGATGCCAGCATCCTGTTTAACATCAGCCCTGGGAAACGGTTAAGCCTGAGCTTGACGTTCTCTGCTTACTAACTCCTGAGCCGTTCCTTTCCTGTGTGGGCAACTTTTCTATTAGAAAGATCTCTCACATTTTGTAAACTTTTACACTTTTATTTTTTGTTATTTTTTAATACTCATGAGATCTCCCTAGAGTGCCCATTTATTGATCTTCCCTCCACTGCCCCTTCCTAAGTCATCCCCAGGTTAACCAGCCATAGTTTTATACCACTCCTTGCTTGGATTGGTAGATGAAAAGTGGTCTCAAATCATATCGCCATTTGTATTATTTCTTGTGCGTCCTGTAACAAATTACCACAAACTGGGTGGCTGAAAAAACAGAAATTTATTCTCTCATAGTTCTAGAGGCCAGAGTCCAAGGTCAAGGTGGCAGCAGGACCGCGCTCCCGCTAGTGCACTAAAGGAGAATTCGTTCCATGCTTGTTCCGTCTTCTGATGGCCCCAGGTGTTCCTTGGCTTGTATCTGCATAACTCATCTTTGCCTCTGTCTTCACATAGCCTTCTCCTCTCTGTATGTCTCTCTTCTTTGTATCTCTTATAAGGATACTTTTCATTGGATTTAGGGCCAGGATGATTTTATCTTCAGATCCTTAATTCACAACTGCAAAGACCTTTTTCCAAATAAGGTCACATTCACAGGTTACGGGGCATAGAACATGGTCATGTCTCTTTGGAGAGCCACTATTTCATCCAGTACATCGTCTGAATCCCTCTCTTTTTCAGTGGTCCTTAAACTTTGGGAACTGTGAACCCTTTTGAAAATCTGATAAAAAGAGATGTAATATCTCCATAGATAAATACACACAGGCCAGTAAAAACACATTTTATTGCAAATTTCAGGAGATTCAAACTCCACTACCACCACCAAAGCCCCTACATGTACTACTCACGCGTATCCTTCTTGAATGGTGACATCCAACACTAACTACGATTCTCCTTTGTTATGTAGTTAAGGTAAAACAGACCAGGATATTTCCTCTTTTGTTCTAGAGAATATACAAAATTCTGCATTCATTAATGCATTCTAAGATTACCTTAAGTATTTCTGGTCTCTCTGAAGTGTTTACTTACATTAATTACATTGTATACAAAAATTCTTAAGCTGCATCATCATCATTATTATGATGTATCCTGAGCTGCACCAAGCCCCATTTCTTTTATCCAGTACTTATGTAGTTGCCAGGGAGGGACCTGATATTTTTCCCTGTTATGTCATATATTATTAAATTCAGCCTGTCTTTTCAGTTTGTCAAGACCTTTTTGGGTCCTGATTCTGCCATCAAGCATACTGTTTCTTCCAGCTTTGTGTCATCAGAAAATGCCATTTCCAATGATGACCATTATTTTCATGTCATCAAGTCATTAATAAAAATGATGAACGAGAAAGAGCAGACAGCAGAACCTTGCAGCTGACTACTCACCCCCTCCCTCCTGGTTGATTTTAATGCCTTAATTAGGTACTGTTCAGCCACATAATTTTACTAGCACCTGGCTCATGTTTTTTCATCTTTTCTTCAAGACTGCTACAGCAGACCATCAGATGCCTTGTTGATATCTGGGTAAATCATGTGCCTCATATTTTCTTCTTCTGTATGCCTAGTAATCCTTTCATAGAAAGGAATGGGATTCATCTGACATGATGTATTTTGTGATCTATAGAATAACTGTAAACTGTTTGGAGTAGGTAGAGTGTTTTGTTTTTTGTTTAGCATCACTAATATCCTGCTACCCAGAGTACTCCAATCAGGGAAGACTTTCTAGAGGAGGTAGCATTCGAATGTGGGAGGATTTGGATAGGCTGGATAGAGAGGGAAGAAGACATTTATCAAGGTTTCTCCCACTGTTTATTTTTTCTTGATGAGCTTTTAACCTTATTCTCCTCTCTTAAATAGAAACTTTTTATGAGATAACTGTTTTGTTAAAGATTAAAAGTTGACTGACTCATGACCTTTCCGTGAACTGAATCAGAACTAAATGGGAGAAATACCTTAGCGTAGACCTGGCATGGATGTATTGGATTTGGAGACCAATGAACATAGCAAGAATGCAATAGAATAGAGAGAACGTCAGGGCAGGTATCCCACGCAGTACTGGCCACACAGTCCAGGGTATTCTAGCCTCTTGGTTCCTACTACTCAGGGCTGAGGTAAGATTCATGCAAAGATCATACGATTTTACTAAAGGAGAGACCCACAGTCACTCCCTCAAAGTCTGTTTAATCTTTTTTTTTTTTTCAGTCAAAGCTCTAAAAAGCTTTATTTAACGAGTAAATGATAGGACATTAAAAATCATTTCCTAAGGTGTATTTTAAGTTGTGTGATCTACAAAACAATTCTTTCTCCATTTCACAATTTTAATTAGCTCCACCCCTCCCAAAGCATCCTCATCTTTCAGATAGAAGAAGGAAATGTCCCTTGAGGAGAGTCAGTCTCTTAGGTGTCACTATGAGGATATTTGAACTTGGGAAGAGGAGAATCCAGGGCTGTGAGCATGATTAATTCTTGCTGGAATGGAAGCCGTCCGATTCCTTGAAAGACTTCGGTGGGTTTTGGTTCCTGGCATGACGGGTCTCCCCTTTACATCACTCTGATAGATGCCTTGCATTGTAATTACGAGACATGCCACCTGAGTGGAGTATGGAAGATCAGTCTTTTTTTCTGTTTTTCTAGAAATGATTGATCATTCATGTTTATAGGGCTATCAACTGCTGGACTTTGAAAAGGTCAGTATTGATTAAGTCACGCAGAAAGTGTGCTTCTTTGCTATACATAAATATGAGTTCCTTTTATGAGAGAACTGATTTTTCAGGGCAGGGGGAAAGAGGGTGGTATTCACATGAATTAAGCAATGAGAATTTCAACTAAAACACACTTAGATTCAGTCAGAATATTGGAATTGGCAAGGTCATACTTTAGATGAGCTAATCCACACCCACCCTTCCCAACATACACATGTACGATTTACTTTACAGATGAGAAAACTGAGTCCCTGCCTGTGGACATCAGTAGCTGTAACAGTAGTGCCTGCTTTGAGAAGAAGACTAGATGTGAAAATACAAGGAGCAGGTCTACCTGTGGAGAGGATTGTAGATGATCGGGGAAGATTTTTCCTTCACCATACCTTTCTGTATTTGAAAGGCTTCCTGTAAAGCACATATATTACTTTTGCAAAAAAAAAAGTTGGTTTTACACCCACAGTGAATACCTTGTCAATTGGCTGTAGTTGTGTGGTCCGTGGACTTCCCCTCAATAGCCTTCACAGACCTGGCTTTAGAAGAATCGTTAAAGTCCAGGCTGCAGTTCAGCCCTCTCTCCCTCCAGTCTTCAGTCCCTCTCTCCCTCCAGACGCTGTGACTGACTATGGGGCTTTATCCGCTTGCCTTTCTCATTTGTCCCCTGAACACTTAGAGTTTTTGGCCACTTCAGCCTCCACTCGGAATGGCAGTTGGTGAAGGTGGACTACAGATCTATCTTCAGCCGGCGCTGCAGCAGAGAGGATTATGAGACCTGGCGCCTGCTCAATCAGGTACAGTGCAGGGCGGGGGTCCTGTCTCCTAGGAAGCGGGGCCACTGCAAGCCCTGTGCGGTCCTATCGGACCTTCCCGTGTGCAGAAGGAAAGTCGTGGGCCATCTGGGGATAATGGTGGGTTTCGGGGGAGGGATTGGAACCCACACACCCAGGTCTAGCAGGGGCAGGTGATATTTTGGGACCCTTTTGCACCCTGGAATCCTGATCTACTCGTTGAAATCACCGAGCAGCCTGGGGAAGTGGTGATAATGGTAACCTGGGATTTTAGTGCTGCCCATGCGGAAGTAAGCCCAGAAAACTAGGAGACCCCACCAAAGATGTGATCATCTCACCTTTTACTGGGAAGCATGAGAGCATTTCTCAGACCAGCCTGAAGTCAGTACCCAGGAGCGTTGTGGACAGGACCACACAGAAGGGGTGAGAGGTGGAGGTGAGGGGCTCTAGCAAGGCAGATATTTAGCGCTATGCAACATAGGCAGACTTCTTTTTTCTTCAGAACTATTGGGTCCTTATAATTTGTACCAACAAATTATTATCCTTCTGTTTGTGCCCTTGACTAGGAATAAGGACTTGGACACAGTGGTTTATCATAGAGAGGGAACTTATTGGGTCCACTTCAATTTTACTCTGAAGATGATGTGAAAAATATGCCAGAAGTGGGTTCTTTTCCGCTGGAATTTCTGCTGACGCCATTCGGGCAATTGCCGGGTGGTCTGTGAGGATGACCTGGAGTGTTTGCATTCTCTGTGGAGGTGGAGAAGAAACAAGACGAAGTAGCCATCACTGGCTAGGTTGGGTGGAGGGACAGTGATAGGCCAGCCTCCCATAGTGTTCCTCTTGCGGGGTAGAAAAAGACCAGCCTTTTAATCTTGGAAACTCCTGAATGGTTCCTGGGAGGGAGATTTCTGCATAGAGTGACGAAAAGAGAATGAAGAGGCTAACGCTGGTTTATTTCACCATCTCTGTGTTTTTCTGCCTCTCTCACTATGGACTTCCTTCCTAAGGGGGAGCCTTGCATCATGGGAGAAAGGAAAATATTCCAGAAACGCAAGCCAGGAGCTCAGTGTGCCCTGGGCCAAGACTCCTCAGGGACGGTGGTCTCAGAACCCTGTGTCTGTGCCGACTGGGACTTTGAATGGTGAGTCCCTGGGCATCTCATTGCCAATTCCAGCTAGACATTTACTGGTTGGGGGGATGAGGGTGAAGATGAAGCTGGGGAGGAAGGCATGCCTAAGAGATAGGTGTGTCTGCTGGCCTATGGGCCTGGCTGCCCCAGTTCCTGGCCAGATGGGATGTCTGCATCCCTGGAAGGAGGACAGGAGGAGGCGATTTCACAGGGAAGATCACTGTTCTATCAGAGAAGCATGTCCAAGGGGACTTCTTCCCATCTTCAGTTAGCATCTGTCCTGGAAAGTCCCACAGAGGTGGGGCTGGGCACAGAGAGCTCAGAGAGCTGCCACCTTGGGCAGTTACCTCCAGAAACGTTAGCTAGAATTGTACTCTTCCAAATGAGCTCTCTTATCATCATTTCTTTTTTTCTCCCTCTAATGACAACCACAAAGAATGACTTTGACTCTCACCTATTAGCTAATGACTCACAAATTTCCAAATATTTACCTCCATGTCTGGCCTGTCTCTCCTCTTGGATGGGGACATTTGTGTCCATCTATTTACTCAGCATCCATCTTCCCTTGAATTGCTAATAGGGATTTCAAACTTGGTGTGGCCAAGCAGAATTCTTCCTGAACACCCACTAGTGGAAGCAGGTTTTCAACTCTTCTTAAGCCACCACCCCCCATCCTGGACCAGTTTTTCCAAATTCAATAAAACACACTGATACCCACTCAGTTGCTTAAGTCAAAATCCCAGGAGAGCTTGATTTTTCCCTTTACCCTCAGGTCCAGGCCATCCACAAGTCCTCGAAAGTCCCTATTTCCAAAACACATTCTAACTCAAAGCACCTCTACCCATGACCACTGCAATCTGGGTCACTCCAACAGTTTACTAACTCACTCTCTGCGTCCACTCTGGTCACCCTGAAATCTATCCCAAATTATATTTTAAAAACCCAAGTCAGATCTTATCACTCCTATACTTGAAGCACTCCAATGGCTTCCCCTCTTCCTTAAAATACAATCTAATCTTCTTTCTTTGCTCCACTGTAGATGACTGACCCATTGCCATTGTTCCTTAACTTCTTACTGTTCTCCCCTCATTCACCATTTTGCAGCCACACTACTATCTCCTACACGTTGATTAACCCAGACTCATTCCTAGCAAAGGAAACAGCAGGTGCAAGGATTTCTTCCACATCTCAGCATGGCTGGCAACTTTGCATCACTCACGCCTCAGCAAAAGTAGCAGCTCCTCAGAAATGCCTTCTGAGACCATCTAATCTCACCTACACCCTGGCACTCTCTGGCACATCAGCCTGTTTAATTGTCATCTTAGTATTAATCACAAATAGAGAGATTGTGTTTTTCGATTTCTTTATTATTGCCCATCTTTCCCCAGTAGAATGGAAGTGTGTGAGTGCAGGAATTTTAGACATTCCTTATTGTTGCATCCTCCATGCCTAGCCCAAAGTAAGCATTAAACTGTCATACGATGTTTCTGAACGTTGTTTCTTTTTTTTTTTTTTTTTTTTTTTTTTGCGGTACGCGGGCCTCTCACTGCTGTGGTCTCTCCCGTTGCGGAGCACAGGCTCTGGACGCGCAGGCTCAGTGGCCATGGCTCACAGGCCTAGCCACTCCGTGGCATGTGGGATCTTCCCGGACCGGGGCACAAACCCGTGTCCCCTGCATCAGCAGGCAGACTCTCAACCACTGCGCCACCAGGGAAGCCCTGAATGTTGTTTGTTTTAGGAGAGTCAAAAACCTTCCCAAACCTGGGAATGGGTGATCCCATCGGTGATCGCAGAGTCATCCCAGGCTGATTCCAGTTGGATGAATTCTTCCTCTGTGTCACAGTCAAAAACTGAAGTTCATTTGAGATATTTTCATCACCCATTCCAGGTTAAAAGACAAAGCTAAGGGCTCAGGTGTCAGCCTATAGACAATGGAAGGGGCAGGACAATGACAGAGCTGCATTAGGGCTTATCTGGTGTCTAATAACAGAATAAGTCCAAATGGGTACAGAACAGCTGCCTGCCCAGAAGCCTCAGCCCCTCCGTCCTCATTTCATCCAGCCTGTTTCTTGATTTGTCCTGTTAGCCATCTTCCATTTCCCACTTCCTACTAGGACTGTAACTGGTAACAGCAAGCCCGCTTGTTTACCATGACTGCCCCTTGCCTGCTCTTCATCCCTGAACTCATGCCTTGAAAAGCTGGACTTCAGCAAGAATCGTCCAAATGGGATGTGCTAAATGGAATTGAATTTAAATGACAGGGTCGTATCTGTAGCATGTTTGACCCTTTGGAAACAAAGGATATTTTCACAATTGGGAAGAATAATTTTTAATTATTAACCACAATCCAGAAAAATAGTCATAGCAGTGATACAGTAGGCCACTCAGAATTATGGTACATGACATATTGATGTCAACCCGAATGTGCAGAATCTGAATATCAGGCTTCCTTGTGTCCTTCTGCAGACTGACTCCATAGAGGTGCATCGTCTTTGCATATGTCGTGCTACATTTTCTCCTGTGTCTCTCTGAACTGTACTAGACCCTCACCCATTGTTGGGAAGCCTTACAATTGAGAAAGAGTAGGAATCATAATGTAAATATTTTTTTATTCAGCAGTTACATTAACATTTACTAGTCTGGGAAAAAAAACCCAGCTCTGATATTCAGTTTTTGACCTTGGGAAATTTACTTAATCTCTATGACTTCACCTCCTAGGCTATTAAATACAAATATATAACATGTATCTCATTGGGTCCTAGGGAGGAATAAATGAATTCACATACATCGTTAATGTGAATAAGGAATTTATCCTAATGGTATACACGGCTTTTGATGCTGCGGTTGTTGTTAATCTTGAGCCCCAGGGTTAAGTGGTCCCCATGGTATTGTTAGCAAGTAAATCAGAGCTTATACATCCAGATAAGCACTGTCTTCAAAGTTGAACCTTTGGGTATTATCCATTTATTTCAATGGCGATGGCTTTGCTTAAACTATTTCTGAACCTCTTTGGAAAACTGCTGTCAGAATGCATCTATAAGTAAAGAAGTGGAGGGAGAAGCCCTTGCAAAGTATTCTATGGTTCTCACACTTGCATTGGTAGAGGTGCCACCTGGACCCAACACCCTGTAATGTCAGTATCATTACTATGACATTTTAGTGAGAAGAAAATTAGCATCTGGAATGTAAGTTACTTGACCGAAATCACATTAGCAGTGAGAGGAAGAGGTGAGGATGAAATGTAAGTCTAGCTAAATTCCACATTCTCTTCTCTATATCATGCCATTTCTCAAGAAATCAAACAAATCTTTGTTATTTTAGATACACTTTATTTTTCAGAAGAAATAGGGTCCCCAAGTTTGCTTATTCTAAAATGATCTCATCCTCAAATGATCTAAGTTAACTGCTGGTGATGAGGTTTAATATAGAATGTTCCATTAACTCTAAACCAATGCCAAATAAAGTAGTTTTGGCCATTGGTACTAGGAATGTCATAGGTGTATGGTGTACAAGAGGACTTTATAGAATTTTGAGGGGAGATATATAAGACAATATAGCCAATCATACCTCATATTAAAAAGAAGATAGAACCACTTGTGTCTGAGTTAGGACTAACAAACACACAGGACTTGAAGCTGGGTTAGTAGTCATAATCTGAGAACAAAAGCAAAAAAATCGTGTGACCTAAAAGTATTTTTGCACTACTTCTGAGTATGGCAGAGAGAGTTTGATTCTGAAATTCCTGAGATTTTTTTTTGTTGTTATGGTGGTTTTCATGGACAATGGGACTGAGTGTTTAAAATTTTTTTCTTTGTTTTATTTTTAAGTCAACTTCAATAAGCATAGGTATCAGTTAAAAATACAGTTTTTCCCTCAAATATAGTTTGTCTGTTTGTTTGTCTTTAATGCTCATGCTGAAAAATCCGTGTATGGCAACAGTTTCATAGCCCTGTCTCCTTCTCGATGTTCCTTCCTACCAGGAAGTGTTAGCTAAGGAATCTGAAGACCCCAGCTTGGTTAGTATAAGCGATAACCATTCATATTCCACCTAGTTGTTTCCCTAAGCCAAATCAGGTCGTGTGCATTGGATTGGTCCAGGCAACTTTTAAGTCTCAGAGACAGCAGGGAGTAGAGACTGGGGAGGATGGATCAAATGCGTTGATTCCGGTGGAAAAGTTAAGGAGTGCGGCCTGGGTTCACAGAGGAATTTTCTGCCCGTATCGTTCTGCTTAAGAAGGAAGGCTTTATAGATTCTCAGATGCCTTTACTTGTAGAACACCATTGAATTTCGCAACTTTCACCCTTCCATCCAGAGCGGGTGTCAGTAACAAGTATGAATTTTACATAAATATTGGTGTTTCTACTTAACGGCCTCATAAATCCCCCAGCCTTATGTTTACTGTACAGAACCTCTCTGTAGCAACCTCCATCATGGCACTGGTGAGGGGCTAGGAGCAAATCCTCCGTGAGAAGTAAGTTTGTCAGAAACTACTGAGTAGTCAGAAAAGGGAGCTGCTCTGAAGTCCTATGAGGGCTCCTAGGAAGTACTTGCCCCCTGGGAGGTCCAAATGCATTTGTTCAGTGAGAAACCAAGTTGGACCAGAGATTACGCCAAATTGTTCTCTTTCCTACTCCTTCATCCAACCACTCACACAGCAATAATTTTGCTGAGCACCTACTAGGTGCCAAGTTTTTTAGATGGATTAACTTAATCTTCCCAACCAGCTCTTGGAAGGAGAGTCTGTTATCATAGGCATTTTATAAATGAAGAAATTGAGACAAGAGAGGTTAAGTGTAGCTCATTCAAAATAATAATATGCTACTGCAGAGTCTCAAGTCTCAGTATGTCTTTTTTTTTTTTTTTTTTTTTTGCCCACACCTCGCAGCTTGTAGGATCTTAGTTCCCCAACCAGGGATTGAACTCAGGCCCGTGGCAGTGAAAGCGTGGAGTCCTAACTACCGGACCACCAGGGAATTCCCAAAGTCTCAGTATGTCTTAGTGTTTACCTTCC